ATTGGTACAAATTCCCATTTCAAATGACACCTGAAATTGATTGTAATGACCCATGTCCATTGGTTCAACTGTCCATAACCAATCAATAATAAGTTATTGTCCTTGTTCTTTGATAAATTGATACACCAATCAAAACTAAAAACAAAAAAATTGACAAAGTTGAATATTTCATGGTTGTGGTGGTTGCAATACTGCCAATTATTTTTATTCAAATATAGTTTCCAGTGGTTGTTTGTTTGTTTGAATGGCAATCTTTCTTTTAGCATTAGAGTCACATATATTAAAATATTCTAATAATGAATAATTTCCTTTTATTACCAGCTGTTACCGTAGAAACATTAAGTTAGAATCAGACTTGATATAATACATTGATTTTCTGTCACATTATACAGACTTGTAACAAATATATTATAGAAACTTTCAAACCATTACATATAATAATCAATACTGTTCTAGTAGAAGTGAAAATTGGATGGTCTCTGTTGATTTTACTTTTAAATGAAAATGAAATACATGAGTTTTACGTCTTACTTTTCTGCACCATGTGCGCTAATAAAGACAGGCAACACCATGCAGGGTGCAATGCGGGAAATTTGGCCTGCTCTTTTTCGATTTCCAAATGTCGTGCACAGTATGTAGCACACAGGGCCTCGGTTCCATTCAAACGACTAGTTGCTTTTTCCATGTCAGCCCCTATTTTCTGCATCACTGACAGGGGGGAAAAACCGAGTTGAAAAATCCAAAGGTATTATTTCGACCTATGCCGTGATTGAACCTTGGACCGTCTGCTTATAGAGCAAACTGCCAATGTCATGTAACCAACTTAAATTTGTCGAATTGACACAATTATTTGTTTTAAACACAGTGTATCAGGCATATCTAGAATTACATCTCTTACCATTGGTCAGGTATGATAATCATGTATATACTTTGCTTATGTATAATGCCTATTGTTTTTTTTATAAGACACATGTTCTTTGGAGATAAATATACTTTATTTCTGTACTAATATTATATCACACGTGCCTATTATATGATTCAGATTGACTGGCAAACATTCTTACATCACAACTCAAAAACTTGATGGCTCTAGATATACCTTAGTTTCCCACTGGAAAATACCACTTCCAACATGATTTTAGTATTTTTCAATATTATTTCCTTCTGGGAAATTTCCTATTTCTTACTGCAGCTTCACTCACAGTGACACAATTATTACTATGCAATTTGTATAATTGGTTGCCAAAAATAGCCATGCAAAACTGCATTAACAGATTATTTTACATAATAAATATTTCTTTCTCTGTTAAAAGTTTACAGATATCAAGGTTTTTGAGCATTGTCAAAAATGGATCAAAATGACTGACATCACTGCCCTCAACATATTTGAATTTTAGGTAATTATTAAGGCAACTGGACAGTTAGTTGTTACAATTTTTCAAATACAGATGAAATATGGAAGCAAGCCTAGTCAGTGAATAGAAGCAGAATTTCATATCAAATATATTCTGCACTATTTTCTGCTTTCTGAGACTTAAATAACAAAACATTTCATATGCTCAACTGTTTTTTTTAAATTATACAATGTTTAAAATGTTGGTATTTGTATTTTGTGAATCTGCAGTAGACATTCTGCCCAATCCAACATCTTATTCTAGTCTGGATTGATTTTCAGTTAGTTTAAAACACTTTGAATACTCAGACATTCTGTGTATTATGAATTATGAAACTAATCAGTGTTCCTGACACCAGAACAATCTGTATCCGACATCTAGTCATCTTTATCACCAATTGGATAATCTTTTGTATTTGAAATTTTTGACATATGGCCTTATTTGAATTTTTATATGCCCACATGGATCGGTCCGTCCGTCCATCCACATTTGTTGTATGCACGATAGAGGCTACAGTTTTTATCTGATCATGATGAAACTTGGTATGCATGTATATATTGATGAGATCTCAGTCAAATTCGGAATTGGTAATAATCGGATGAACGGTTTCAGAGTTATTGCCCTTGACTTAACTTACATTTGGCTTGTATGCACGATAAAGGCTGCAATTTTTATCCAATCTTGGTGAAACGAAGTATGCATGTATATATTGATGAGATCTCAGTCAAGTTTGAAATTGGTAATAATTGGATGAACGGTTTCAGAGTTATTGGCCTTGACTTAGTAAAAACGTGTTAAATTTGGCTTGTATGCACAATAAAGGCTGCAATTGTTTTCTGATCTTGATGAAACTTAGTATGCATGTAGATATTGATGAGATCTCGGTCAAGTTTGAAATTGGTAATAATCGGATGAACGGTTTCAGAGTTATTGGCCTTGACATAGTAAAAACGTGTTAAATTTGGCTTGTATGCACAATAAAGGCTGCAATTGTTATCTGATCTTGATGAAACTTAGTATGCATGTATATATTGATGAGATCTAGGTCAAGTTTGAAATTGGTAATAATCGGATAAACGGTTTCAGAGTTATTGCCCTTGACTTATTTAAAACCCGTTAAATTTTGCTTGTATGCAAGATTAAGGCTACAATTTTGATCCCATCTTCATGAAACTTAGCATAGATGTTTGAAGTTAGTAATAATTGGATGAACGATTTCAGGGTTATTGCCCTTGATTTAGTAAGAACCCTACAAATTTGACTTGTAGTCATGGAACAGGGTGCAGTTTTTATCTGATCTCAATGAAACTTGGTATGCATGTATATATGGACAAGATCTCAGTCAAGTTGAAATTGGTAACAATCGGGTGAAAGGTTTTAGAGTTATTGCCCTTGAATTAATTCAATGCATCTAATTTGGCTTGTAGGCCTGATAGAGACTACATTTTTTATACGATCTTGATGAAACTTGGTATGAGATCTCAGTAAAGCTTGAAATTATTAAAAATCGGATGATTGGTTTCACATATTAAACCACTACAAACTTTGTTATCATTTCTGACAGCTGGTAGTGGGTGTATGTTACCTTGCCTGGCAAGCTATCTTAAATAAATGTTATTAACGAATTTCTATTCTGTGTGTTGATTGAGATTTTGACATGAAATTAGTTTGATTGTGTGGATTATTAGAAATTATTCCAATGTTTTTGTATCTATGTATGTGTATTAGGGACATATATAGTTTTAATTCTGACAAATTGGCAAAAATGATATTAGTAATCAGAATTTCTGATGTTAGGTGGCATTCGTAATCTGAATAAAATCACAAAAGACACAAAAAACAAACAAAGATATCAATTCTGCCAATGACCTTCTTTCAAGATCAAGCAAATATTGTGAGCGACCTGTTAAGCATATCAATATCCCTGACTTTAAAACCGAAAAATATTGCCATTCATCATTATGAAAAGTGGGGGAAAGATTTAGCTGGACCTGCGAAATTTGGTTTATGTTGAACAATAATTAGAAGTATTTTATAATGCTAAAACAAATTTAAACTAATGTTTGTAGACAATATTAATTCAAGTAGAGAATATTTAAAATCAAGAGTTCCCACGTTGATCAATCAACCAAATCAAAAGAATTATCAAGTGAATTGTCTTCTTTATATAATAATATCTATATTTTGGGTAACTGAACTATGAATAGTAACATAAGTTAAAAATCCAGAATTTGAGTACTCCTACACTATTTTCAATGTATGTTGTATTACACAGAGTTCACTGTATGTTCAGTATGATTTTTATACGCCCACATGACCATCCATCCACAATTGCTTGTTATAAGACACAATTTTTGACAGATTTTGACAAAACTTGTTCGAAATCACCCAAGGATGAACCCTATTGAAAAATATTAAGTATGAGTTATTGTCCTTGTTCTTCAAAATGTGTCCAATTTTTAGCTCGTAAACACTCTCGAAGGCACAATTCTGGACGGATTTTGACAAAACTTGGCATGAGTGTATGTTATCACCCAAGGATAAACCCTATTAAATATCAGAAGAATCGAAAAAAATTTTGTATTAGTTATTGCCCTTGTTCTTGGAAAGCGCCTTCAATTTTTAGCTTGTAAACGCTCTAGAAGGCACAATTCTGGACAGATTTTGACGAAACTTGGGGAAACTGTTTCTATCACCCAAGGATGAACCGTATTGAAAATTAAAAAAAATATGAAAATGTTTCATAGAGTTGGAAAATGCTTTAAAATTTTAGCTCTTAAACATTAAAAGGCATGATTCTTGGCAGATTTTGACAAAACTTGGTTTTTATGATTCAGTACCAGGTTGAATATTTGCCATCTAGAGTTTTCACGAGCTAAAAATTGAACTCGTTTTCAATAACAAGGGCAATAACTCAAATTCAATATTATTCAGTATTGCCCTAAAGAGTTCAAAAGAAATGTATGACTAAAGGTAGAATATTTCATACTGGTAAATATTTATATTCAAAATCAAAGTGCCAGTGGGCGTATATTACCTTGCCTGGCAAGCTATCTTACAGATGGTTGTAGACTAGTGTTTATGATATAGTTATAAATGTAATAATCTCCTCTATACATTAGAGATAAGGGCAAGGGCAGGTTGTTTGATTTTTTAAAACATCAATCTTTCTTAATCAGGATGGGATATGATAAGATTTTATCATATTTAATCTAGAGCGGAAACACTGATATTGTGGAAATGTTAACATTTACTGATAATCGTTTTCTGGTATGTTGAGGGTTGATTAAGTAAAAAATCTGGATAATTTAAAGTGAACATTTTTATTATAAAGGATAGATGTTGGTAGAAATGATATGTTATTAGTTGTAAATATTGTAAATAAAAAAGGATGAATTTGCACCTGATGTCCACTTGTAGAAAATTCAGGATAAAGATGTGAATTAATTGCATGTTTGCTGTTGTATGGTGATCTAAAACTATTGCTGTGGGTACATGCTACATTTTCAAAAATTTTATTTTTATTGTTTATGTTTATTACAAGAATTTAAAAATATCTGATTGTTGTAGAAATCAAATTAATGCAATTTATATTTTTTTTATATAGAAATTGAAGCAGTAGATGCCTGTAAATGGTTAAGAGCTACCGGATTCCCACAGTATGCACAACTTTATGAAAGTAAGCAAATAGTATTTTTATGCCCTTTATGTATAATTTTGACATGCTAGTCTCAAATTTTTTTTGTGCCCACATCTCTACGTTCGTCCACAATTGCTCGTAAACACTCTAGAAGGCACAATTCTCGACTGCTTTTGACAAATTTTTAGTATGATTGTTGCTAATCACCCAAGGATGATAATATTGAAAATTAAAAAAATCAAAAAATATTTAGTATGAGTTATTGCCCTTGTTCTTGAAATGCTCGTAAACACTCTTGACTTATTTTGATGAAACTTGGTGTGAGTGTTTGCTATCACCCAAGGATGAAAACTATTGAAAAAAATAATCGAAAAATAATTAGTATGAGTTATTGCCCTTGTTCTTGAAAACGCGTTCAATTTTAGTTTGTAAACTGTCTTGAATGTTCAATTATTTACGGAATTAGATGATGAAACTTACTGTAAATTTTTCTTATCATCCAAGGATGAAGCCTATTGAAAATCAGAAAAATCGAAAAATAATTCTTTTTTTTTAATAAGTCATCTTTAGACCATAAAAACTCTAGAAGGCACAATTCTTGATAGAATTTGATAAAACTTGGTGTAAGTGTTTGTTATCAACCAAGGATGAATCCTATTGAATATTAGAAGAATTGAACGATATTTAATTTTAGTTATTGCCTTTGTACTTAAAAACGTGTTCTATTTTTAATCTCTAAACACTCTAGGAAGCCTATTCTTGACAGATTTTGACGAAACTTGGTAATATTACACATTATAATGTGGTCGTATATTGTCGTTGCCCCTTTCCGTGAAACACAATTGAGGCTACAGTTTTCATCGATTTAAATGAAATTTATGTTCGAATCTTATGATTTTTCGATAAATGGTTTTTGAGTTATTGCCCTTGACTTAGGAAAAACGCGTCAAAATATGTTTGTGAACACAATAGAGACTTCAGTTTTCAACTGATTTTAATGAAATTTGGTGTGATCATTATATTGATAGATCTTGGTCAAGTTCGAATTTTACAATTTTTTTTGATGAATGGTTTTCGAGTTTTTGCCCTTGACTTAGTAAAACACATCAAAATTTGTTTGTGAACACTATAAATCTGCTGTGATCATCTAATAGAATGAGATCTTGGTCATGATGGAATTTGATGATTTTTCCATGAATGGAATTTGAGTTATTGCCCTTGACTTAGTAAACTGTATAGAAATTTGTTGGCAGTTTATGTCCAAATTTTACAAAATTTTGTGTGTTTGATTAAATCAACAATATCTTGTACAAATTAGATTGTTGGTATGATTTGACAAAGATTGGCGACCGCCCTTGATATACTGAAAATGTATCAGGCAAGTGGGCATATCTTGCTAGGCAACCACTTGTTGTTTAAAATCAAAGCTGCCAGTGGCCGTGGTCGTATATTATATTTCTACTGAACTCATCAGTTCACAAACACTCTAGTAACTACAATTCTTTATTATTTATCACAGTTATTGTCCTAATTCTTGAAAACACATTCAAATTTTGGTATGTAAACACTCTAGAAGGCACATTTCTTGACAAATTTGAAAAAAAAAAAAAAATTAAATTATTTATTATCACCCAAGTCCAAGTCTGAACTTTATTGAAAATCAGAAAATATATTATTGACCTTGTTTTCAATATTTCACTCTATTCTCTATATGGCACACTTCTTGACAGATTTAAATGAAACTTGATAAAATTATCATAATGAATCAAGAAGGAATTCTTTCAAAAATAAGAAATATCTAATAGAAATATTTGATAAATTATTGATTTTAGTTTTTGAAAAGTGTTTGAATTTTCCCTTGTAAACACTTAAGAAGCCAAATTTTTGACAGATTTCAATGAAATTATTAATTATCACTTAAAGGGGCAATATTCAAAAGTTTATTAATGAGCCTATGAAAACCATAGGTTTCAAAGAAGTGTATGACTAAAGGTTGAATATTTCATACTTATTATTGTAACTATCCTGTAAATCGATGAGATTTCATAGGAATTATTGACCTCGTTCTTGAAAACGCTTTCAAATTTTAGCTCTTAAACACTAAAAGGCATGATTCTTACTGGATTTTGACAAAACTTGGTTTTATTATTCAGTACAATGCTTAAGATTGAATATTTGCCTTCTAGAGTTTTCACGAGCTAAAAATTAAACACATTTTCTACAAAATGGGCAATAACTTATACTCAATATTATTCAGTATTGCCTCAAAGAGTTCGAAAGAAGTGTATGACTGAAGGTTGAATATTTCATACTGGTAATTTTTACTGTACTGCTAAATATTTTTATAAAGAATCAAAGCTGCCAGTGGGCATACATTACCTTGCCTGGCAAGCTATCTTTTTTATGAAACTGTAAATTTTATGGGTTTCTTTTGATTTGATATGCCTGAGTGTGTATTTGATTAACTTTTTTTGTTTTGTAGATGGGCAGTTTCCAATTGATGTGTCTGTAGTAGAAAAAGACCATGACTTTTTGGACAAGGACTCGATTCACTCACTCTTTAGGTAAGCACTATAGTGAAGTCCACAACCTTATTTAACCTTTAACAACAATGACAATGTGGATATTTTTATTAAGCTAAGGGATACGACCAATTTTATATGAAAAAATTAATCACTGTAATCAGCCTCAAGTTTATTTAATGAATCTGATTAATGACTTATCCTTGTCTAGATTGTCATACTATTATCTTCTAATATTGGTGTACTTAATTAGACCTCCTGGTCTTTTCCATTTATGATAATAGAAGAGACTTCTTGTCTGACAACAATTGCCACTATTGTTAAGACACCAATGAATATACTGGACAATAGCTTGACCATTGATTGTATTGTTTATGATTTAGACAAGAAATATTGTTGTTTTATAATTTGGTATTTCAGTGTAGGAACTAAAATGATTTAAAAGCACATTTATAAATGGTTATAATTGGTTGTGCTATGTAACAAAGTGCTCTTATTTTGGATATTTGTGTTGAATCAGAACATTGGAGTAATTGATCCCACAGTTTTTGAAAAAAGTTATTGCTAAGGTATAAAATTGTCCAATATAGCATAGTTTCCATAAAGTGCTATATTTCAGTATGGGTACACTTTGAAAGTAAATGAAAGTAAATGATTGATGTCTTCTTTGTTTATTTCCAGGAGACTTAACACACTGAATAAATGTGCTCTTATGAAAATAAATTCCCATCCTAACAAAAAGGGGGTAAGTAATATATATTTACCTGTCAATTTTAAAATAAACTTGATAATATTGTATCTGAAACATACAGGCCAAACAGTCTTGAGCGAAAACCATAGTTGATGATGATGATGATTATTTATTGATGTAGATGATAAACCGGACAATACATAACAACCTCTTACAACATTACAAATAAATATAAAGATGAATAAGATGATCATGTTAACATGGCAGTAGCCTAATACCAATTGAAGTTCACACTCAATCAGTCAGCCAAGTATCTTGTCTGCTTCTTGTTACTTAAGCGCATTACAATAGACCCCGAAGTCAGTAGATTGTAACTGACTTTTGTAACTAGTTGAAGAATTTAATTTCGACTGCTATGCAAATAAATCAATGTGTTATTCAGTTATTAACTATATAATTTTATATATATTATACAGAACATACTTGAATATATTCACCTGACATGCAGATATTTGTAATATTGTCATTCACATGGCATTATTTACTTCAATTGATAAAGTGATCGACTGAACATAGTATGATAGCAAACTTAAGTTTTCTTATATGATGTTTAATTTGCTTGTCTTTACAGATTGAAGAATCAGATGAAGATGATCTTTGTGCTTTGAGTGACCGGTGGGAATTTCAAAAAGATTGCAGAAGATGGTCCCGTAAAGTTGTAGATCCAGTTGCACCTCAAGAAACATTTAAATCCTGTTCTAGTCATGATAGTCTGTTGACTGATCAGGACAGCAGCAGTCAAGCAGATGACAGTCCTGTATTAGACAGCAAAATGCCACATGAAGGACCTAATTTGCATAATATGTTAGATCATCAAAATTCAATTCTTGATTCTGGAAACAAACCATTTATTGTCAGTCCCCGATTAAAACGTGCAGCCAGTGAAAAAATTAAAAGTGCTAAAAACTTACTGAAGAAAATGGAAAGCTTAAAAATGCGGAAAGGAAGGAAATTTAACCATGGTAATGTTGTTGAAATAAGTGGACCAGTTGTAGCAGATCATAATCACATGCAAGAAAAAATTCAACATTTAAATTGTGTAGATATAGGTCATAATGAAGCGGGTCCAGAGCTCATAAAAAAAGACAATTTCAAGTCTGCTGATCAAAAGATGAGTGATGATTCCATCTTAAACTCTTTTGAAAATAACAATACTGGTTGTGATACCAGTACCAAATCTTTACCTGATTTTAAGTTGAACACTTCTGCAGCTTTTAATGAATACCACACAGCTATGTCACAACTTTCAAAAACATTTGACTCAGCTGATCTACCGGGTAACAGATTTGCTAGTCATAAAAGTAACCAAAATCTAATAGAGATCTTTTTTTTACCTCAAGACCACACTCCAGGAAAATTCCCCAAGGATATTCGAAATGGTTACATTGATTCAGATGATCACTGTGGCATCAATAATAGACCAGGTAGCTATAGTGCTGAAAGTGATTCCTTTCAGGATCGTGTTGATTCCATCATCTCTTTTGGTGGTAAGCCAAATGTAAATCACCGTCGACATGTATCTTTGGACTCTAGTTACCCTGGAAACCGATTTAGTGTGTATGACAATTTACTGGACTCACTTGACGACACTGATGATGGTGTATCCCATCATAATGTTTCTGAAGATAATGTATCCCAGTCCACAATGGATATATCTACACCTAGTGCTGAGTTATCTAAAGCTCAAAGAGAGTTAGATATCATATTACATGATCTGTTTGAAAATATTAATGGATTGAATCAAACTATAGATTGTCCAAATGAGGGTAAGCATAAAGCAGAATTTCTAATATTCAGGAATAGTCTTCAAAAATTTCATTAAGGGGAGGTCACTACCACATGACCATTTCCAATAAATGATTTATTTACTGACATAAAAGTCTTCCAATTTAAGCATTTAAACAGAGAAATAGTTGAATGAATTTAATTTGATATCCTGTTAAGAATAGTAAAACTAATGTACCGGTATTCAGTTACTTAAAACTAACCTGGTAAAATTTTATTATTCAAAACATTGTAAATTATACATAAAAAAGATTTCTAAAATATGCTATTTACTTCTATGAATACACTTGATCAACCTGAATTTGATTTAAAAAGTGTGATTAAAACAGGGAGAGTACTGCTTGTTAATTAAGCAGTTTTATAAAATGTTTGTATTTGGCTTTATGATATCTCTGTTGAAACCTTCACAATTAGCAAGAGACATATTTCTCTTCAATAAAACATTATTTTGCTTAAATTTGTCCTCTAGTTTTCCGACACAGTTCTAAAAAAAAACATAGCAACTTTAAAATGTATTAACTAGTGTGGCTTTCTAAATTAAACAGCAAGATACTTTAAGTGAAACTTTCAGATAAATAAGAGACACATTTGAGCAAAATATTTTTGAACTTAAACATAAAACTGCCTTTTTAACATAATAGACAGATCAATCAGTGCATTTATTTCAGTTTAAACATACAGAACTTATACATTTTGAATTTCGATGGAAAGAGCTAATATTTATGTGTATGAAAACCTTGCATCAGTACTGAGAACGGTTTGTGGGTTTTTTGTTGTTGATAAAAGCTGTTTTCCCATGCAAAACTTTTTTGTTTTCAGATGAATCTAAACTAGTTGTAACAGTTGAAAAAATGAATACAGAAGAACAAAAGATAAAAACAGATGACATTCAACAGTCAATAGATAGCTGTACCTCACCCAATCAGCCTTTACACATAGATGCCTTACCTAGTGACAGGTTATTGCATATAGACACTGTATCTTCATCGGACCCCATGTCCCCAATGTCCCCTATTTCCCCTATAGAGGTCAATTCTGTGATAGACAATAGTATGGATGGTGACAATGATATGATAAGCAATTCCTCATCCTCTGTGGCACCAAGTGATCAAGACATTCCCAATGAAGAGAATTTAGCAGATGATTTCATTGAAAGCTCTGAGAAACGTGAACGACGTGATTCTGGAGTTGGTTCATCTCTTACCAGAGCACCTAGGTATTTTGAAACTTAATTTTCTAGGTGATATTAATTGCAAGTGCTAACATAGATCTAGTCTACTTTAATATTTTTTAGAGCATATAAGCATATATTGAACAAAGAGATAGTTTCCAATAGATCAGTTTTGAGTTAAACAATGATTTTTGAATAACATATTGTGTTTATTTTGAAATGAAAGGAACTTGCAAAAGAGAAAAGAAAAATAGCAAATGATAGCTTCTAACTCAATGAGATAAAGATGATGTGATATTGTGTATCGCCTATTTTTGTCATTTGATATCAATACATGGTAGTGGCCATGCATGGCATGATGTTACATCTAATATCCTTCTAAATATATTTTTCAATCATATTTGAACTATTTAAAACAAAAAACATTGTTTTTCTGCTAAAATTAAGGATGCCTTGTTGAATATTCAAAACCAGTGTTGTATTTGGTTCTGAAGCAGATAACATTGCAAAATATACATGTATATCCATGCAACAAGCACTTTTGGCCAACAAAGATTTTTATGTCATTCTTTGCTTAATACAAAAAGGAAACGTTATTAAGATCTACTATTCCTTTAATTGAATTTAAGTAGTAAGAAAATTTTATTAAACAATTATTGAGCACATCCTTTATAGGTTTTTTTTAGTTTCTTATTACTTCTGTGTCATCATCAACTCTATTTTCTTATTGATTTTTTTTCAGTGACAAAAAAAGGAAAAAAATCAGATGGCACAGTTTCCAAAAATGTCATCGTCCTAGTTTAACAAGTCGTGATCTTCAGATTAACAGTCTAACAGTAAGACAGTTTCAAGTTTTGCGGAAAATGTCGCTTCTTAAGTTAACTGCTTTTATGGAAAAATTCTGTCCAACTAACAAAACAACTGGTTGGAATTGGACAGTACCACGATTTATGAAACGAAGTAAAACACCTGACTACAGTTTACATAGTGTTTTTGGTATACCACTTTCACTGATACTTCAAAGAACTGGGCAGCCCTTACCACAGTGTATTCTGTATGCTATGAGGTATCTACGTCATACTGCTGAAGATGCTGTAGGGATTTTCCGTAAATCTGGTGTAAGATCCCGAATTCAAAAATTGAGAGATGATTTGGAAGAAAGACCTGGTAAGTTGAGTCTTGTCATTAATGGAGTTGTTAATTGTTTTCACACCTTATCATTTCAAATTCAATTTTAGTCTATTGACTCTTTACAGTATAAAATTTTGAAATCTCAGTCAGTACTGTGGTGGGTGTTGAGACAGAGTGGAACTTGTTCACCATCAGCAGCCTAGGATGTAATTCTGCAACACGTATGCTAAAATGAGTTTTGTGTATGGCAATAATGACAAATTTTTAAATATTAAGGGAAAGATAAAGTTTAATTCTACTTCAAAGGCATTTGGAGGTGGTGCATAAGATCTCAGATTTATAACAAAGTGTCAAATTGACATGTGCAAAGTTGAATGTTAGCAAGCAATTTTGATATATGGTTTGGATGGTCAGACTTATTCTTGCTTTCATTTTACCAAAACAAGGCAAGGGGATCATGTGTAATAGTTTTCAAATATTACGATATATATGTTTCTATGTGAACATATATCCATGATATCAAAAAAGGCAAATCTAATATGGTCATATCACCCATATCATCAACCATTACAAAGTTTATTTTATAATTTTACACATTTTCTACTTGTATAAAGATCTGTTTTAGTTAACTTATTCTAGTATTAATCACACAAACACACCCTTACACACCCTAACACACACCCACACACACACACACACACACAAACACAAAGAAAATTAACCTGAATCTATTCTATGAATATCTTCTGCATTATTTTCAGATACCTGTGACTTTAGTGATCTTCAAGCCTATGACGTGGCTGATATGTTTAAACAGTTTTTCAGAGAACTGCCAGAATGTTTATTAACTGTGAAACTTTCTGAAACATTCATTAGTATATTTACATGTAAGTATAAGTTCTCATATAAATATGTGTCTATCATGAAATGTATGAGAACAAGTGCAATTAGAGATTTTCAAGGGAATGTGTTGTGGAACTGATTGATATGAAATGATGAGATAAGAATGGATGTGTTGAACCTTGTTTCAATAATGGCCATACTTTTTTCTGAAGATCTTACGAGAATGAAAATTTGACATGCAATATTGACTGTCCATGCCACCAGACCTTTAAGCTTTCATACTTAAATTGTTCCAAAATAGTTTGAAGTCTTGCTGGCTGATAGTTCATGCAGACCTTTGTTAGTAAGTGGCTGGTTGCTCATACATGCAGTGGTATTTTATGAAACATGGACAGAATTTAATTAAAAAACAGAATTTATCTATTGTATAATAGTGTTAAAAACATTTGAAATGAGTGATCTGCTTTTACACCGATAATTTCTTGCAAGAACTGAATTTCAGTACAATTCCACAAAAAAACAAGATAATTTTTATTTTTAAAGCTGCATATAATTTGCTTTGTATCCCATAGTGGACAATAATAGGATTTGTAATGATGAAATCTTTTCATGATCTTAATTTGATCATAATATGGCCCGAATGTGTTTGCTCAAAGTCAATTTTTTTTCGTTACAATTTTAGATTGTACCTTTATTTTCTTTAGATGTACAAGTTAATATGAGAATGGAAGCTATGCAAGCAGCCATTATTTTACTGCCAGATGAAAACCGAGAAGTTCTGCAAGCATTATTGTTGTTTCTTAGTGACATAGCTCAGCAATCAACTATCCATCAAATGACAGCCAGTAATCTAGCTGTCTGTTTTGGTCCATCTTTATTCACTATTGGTGGTTTGAGAACAAATTCTAGCACACCCAGTCCGAAACCAAAACATCGTAAAAATCTTGGAGTACCAGATGCCAAAGAATTGATAGAGCAGAAATCAGCCTTAGAATGTTTGACCTATATGATTATTGAAAGTAAAAAGTTGTTCAAGGTCGGTATATGATTCTAAATACAATAGAATAGAATAGATTGATTCTAGAATGATCTTTCTTTTAAATGGCTTTCAAATATTCTGTTTTGAAGAGGTATATGATTTATATTCCAGATTCCACCATGGACTTATTCACGACTTAATATATCCCATGATAAAAATGAACCACCTCAATTAGAAGACATGTATTCACATCAGAATGGCAAACCTGATGTCCGAACATTTGGTGAAGATTCCATCCAAATTCTTCTGAAGGTAAACTTAAAAGGAAACTGTCTGCAAGCATTTAACCCAAATATTTTGTTGTCATGTAGGTTGATAAAACTTTCACTATAAGGTCAAGGGCATTGAAACATGAGAGCAAGTTGGGTTTTATTTTCACCATTATGAAATATTACCAAACATAGTTCTCATCATATCGGTAGGGAACATTTACATGAAAGTATTTACTATTAAAGTATATATAAAAATTTTATTTTTAAGGAATCACATGAAAAAAATAGAGGCTGGGTTTCTTCTATAATACAGAATGGTGTTGATATTAGTTTTAAAAAGTCACATGATACTCATCCATTACGAGAATGGAAAGCAACAGTCGACATTGAAGCTCCGCCTGTGGAAGTTTTGAACAGACTATTGCATGAAAGGTTAGTGTAAAGTTTAGCAATGAGCAGTATTGGGTGTAATATTGGATGTAGTGGATTTCATCCAAAACAATTACTTAACTGATCTAATCACCATAGTAAAATGTCAATGTACCTTAAATCTTCCAATACATTTCAATAGTAAGAAAAAATGCTACTGTTAAATTTATTAATCAACATGTCTTGGTCCTAATATCCTGTTGCATTATACTCCAATTTACAGTGTATAAATTTCTATCATAGTTAAGCTATTAACTAAACATGATGTTGAAGTTCTGAAACAATGATTACTCCAGATATATGGACAAAACAAAACTTATATTCAACTGACAACAGAAACTGATAAATTGAGTTAAAAACAAGAAAAAAAGTTTTGATCATTTGAAGCCAAAAATCTGCAACTTGGTGAACCTGTATATATTTACTCAGTATAAATATTTGTGTTTGATATTAAGCTTGCTAAGGATTTGGCCATATCGACTGATATATTGAACTATCACCGAAGAATAAACCTATCTAATCAAAATTTATTTAAATTGAATTAAATATTCAATCTGAAGCTTGTAATCACCAATATCCATTCTTCAAAATATGTTTGAGTTTTAATAGATATAATAAAATAATAATCTCTGTATAATAAAAGTGTAAAAAATTAGGCCATACAATACCGAGCATCAAGCTCAGATCCTGAGTACCTAGGCCTGTCTTCCATTCTGTACCTTATAGACAATACAACCAACACATACAAATAATCAATCAAATTTACATAGATATATCCATGCCCAAGACCGGTATGATTTTAGAATTGCCAAAACAGAATCTATATTGAAAAATATTATGCAAAATGAATAAAATTAAGTGGATCACTAACAATCTATTCATAATTTTGGTAATTTGGTTTGATAAAAGCAAAAGCAACTTTGATTGTTTGCATCTGATGCAATATGATAATGAGTTAATTAAGGCAGAATTATATATTTTACTGGTATAAATTCTATAAGGCACTTAGTTCTGTTCTTAAAAATAGGATATCACTGAAAAATTGTGGAATTGTTGTTTTATCATCAAGGATAAACTTACTTATTGAAACCTAAAAAAATCAGATGGACTCATTCCACTAATACATTTGCCATCTATTCCCATGTTAAAACACGAAATTCAACCTTCTACAACAATTTCCAGAAATCTTGTTAATAGCTTTCCAAAATGTCAAATGAATGCCTGACCAATCCTCAATGTCTCCTAGAAAATTCTATATATGATGATCATGAAAATTTTGAGCTACTAAAATTGAAAGTAGACTACTACCGGTTATACTCATCCGCAAGAGTTTGGCAGTTCACAAAACAACTATTTTTAAAATTAGCCTTCCGCCTTTAGGTCTCTCATCATCTCACCAAATCTTAAAGATAATGCAATTTCAGACATCAAATTCCAAATCCAGACCAAAAGTCCAGATTGTATATGATTGCAGGTTATGACCTTTGTTAGAAGTTCTTCAAACTGATAAAGCACACTCATTAGAGCAAAGTTTGAAAAGAAACCTATGATGCTGTTTTTTTTTTGCTGTAGAAAAATTGGCACAATTAAATTGGTGTATAGCTAGAGATCTTTTTTATGAAACTCGGTATGCTGATGTCTGAAATATTTTTGTATTAGATCTCGAACGCGCTATTGCCAAATATGGACATGATTTAGGCTACAATTTTCATCAAGTATTTGCAAAACATGGTAAGCACATGTATACATATTGATGAATTCTTGTAAGATTTCAACTTTAATGATTTTTTTTGTATAAATGATTGTCTTTGACATAGACTAGCAAAAAATGTCAAAATTTACATAAATATATAATAGACAACAATTTTAAGGCTCCCTGAAAGTTTTAGCCAAAAACTGAATCAAAATAAATTTTTTTCCAAAAGCACTCTTCAGATTTTAACAAAGTTCAAATTTAAGCCAGATTTAATTCATGTACATTTATACCAGGTTTCATCAAGAAATGTAGCCTGTATTATGTCTACAGCTGAATTTGAAATAATTTTACCAAGTCAAGGGCAATAATTCCAAAACCGTTCATAAGATTATTACCAAATTTGAACTTGACCCAGATCTCATCAATATATACATGCATACAAATTTTCATCAAGATCAGATGAAAATTGTAGCCTCTTTCTTGTTACTTTAATAAACAAAGATCCACCGAAATAGACTTGAATTGCCATACAACCTGCTTTTGAATGGCAGCATTTTTCTATTATTAATGGCATATGTGGCCTTTTGAAAATTTTGTTTGAAATTAACCATATTTCTTTTTATTTACAGACATATTTGGGATGAAGATATGTTAAGCTGGGCAGAAGTGGAACAAATTTCAAAAAATTCTGATGTATTTCAGTATATTTCTAATAGTATGGCACCACAACCCACACGCCACTACTGCATTCTGAGGTAAATATAAATTAAATATAGAATATACCATCTTGATTTTTAACTGTAATCTCTACTCAGTGGCTTTTAAGTTAAAAGAAGTATGTTGCTGGATGAGTAAGCACTCCTTTGAACAAGATTGTACACAATAGTGAAAACTGTAGCTTTTACACTTAAACTATAGGTTTGTCAGTTGGATGAATGCTGGCCTTAAGACCTGGCTGTTGCCCATCAGAGGAATGAAAAAATTCTTTGTATTTTTTAGATATTGGAGAACAGATTTGTATAAAGGAGCATGTGCATTAGTATCCACATCAGTAGACCATCCAGACATTACCAATACAAATGGTGTAAGAGCACTAGATCTAACTTCACATTTCCTGATTGAACCATGTGGTGCAGGAAAATGTAGAATGACACATTTAGCTAGAACTGATTTGAAGTAATTATAATCTTTATCTTACGAAATCCTATAAATTTTTATATATTCACATTAATATGGTTATTGGTCTTTATAATGAATTGTCCAATTTAAGATACAATAAACTCAAATTTATATTTGTTTACATCACCAAATAACTATATTTGAATTAACAGGCCACATTTTCGTATTTTGATTTTAAGGGTCAAATCTATTTAGAAGGAGATATTTTAAGTTAAAACTGATATAAATTAATTCATTATATTTTCAATGGTCAATGGTCAGAAAATTCATCTGCATTTCCTTTGTAATTAGCTTATTACGAGTAAATAAGGGACTCATGAGACAAACTGGTCTTTTCCCTGGTCGTTCCCTACATTTGATATTTATATGTATTAGGCCTCCAATGATTTAATAATTTGAACTTCTTACTGATTCCAGGAGAGTTTTCAATCATCTAAGAGATACATAGAGTTTCCTCTGACTTTACTAAAACTATTGACTATTCAATATATTAAAATGTTTTCAATTTAGCTTTATAGTAGACCTTCTCATATTGTGTTGTATACAATATTGGATTTTAATATGAACATGGCATGTCATGTACAACGTGAAGACTCTAGAAATTCTCCGAACTGGCAACTGTCAAATGTTGTGATAAATGTGTAATTCAACATGTTGGACATCATGTAGTGTATGACTTAACAAACATTGTTCAATTATTAAAGAAAGATGATAAACTATACTTCAGAAAATAAACTACAAATTGGATTTGGCTGAGTTATTTTGATACATAGACTCAAAACTGTGTGGCCCTATGGCTTAAATGAACATAATTTTGAAAGCCTAAAAAACTTGTCCAAGTAAAGCCATACAAAATAAATAACAGGCTTCGCGCACTATAGTAAAATACCCAGCGCTCCAAATCTATTGACATTTTGAAGTAATTAATAAATAATGCGTGCACACCACCAAAATAATGTGTGAAATAGAGTTATTTCCCCTTCTCTTGAATATTTTAATAGAGTTATTTCCTTGAATTTTTGTCGTAAAACCGGAATTGGTTTAGAATACGTTTTTTCTAAATTTAATAATTCTCATCAAATTAAAAATAAAAGCCATTGTTTTTTTATTTCACTTAAAAGTGATGTTGATTTTGACAATTAACCATCAGAAGATACATTAGTTTGCTGAAAGAAGCACAATATTAAGTGCATCATTGTCAGAAGTGGTAGATATCTTTAGATATTTCATTACAAACATCAATTAATCAAACAATAAGCATGATTTGTCCAAGAAAAATAAGAAAATCCAACTTTAAAGATGCACTTTCAGAATTAATTTTATCATACTTTTCAGAAACTGGAATTGTTATTTAGCTAATCAGTACTACTAGTTTACAACCTACTGTCAAACTTTGAGCACTATTATCCCTTTATATTATTGACATTTTTTTACAAATTTCATCTTGGCATAAGTTAGTTAATAAATGGATATAATAAAATAAATACAAGTTCAAAGTATATGTGAAGGAAGTGTTGAATTGTCTCAAGTTCTTGTACTTCTGTTCACTATTAACAATTCAACTCCAAAAATGCCTATGTTGCCTACGAATGGTACATTAGATGTGTATTAATAAATAATAAATACTTTCGCTCACTCTGATTTATCCCATTTGAAAATCTAAAAATTCACCATCTTGCCCTGATTTTTGTAAAAAAACTATTTATTTTGTATGGCCTAACTTAAAAACTTTTTGGCCTTCACTATGCTTTCCTTTAGGTTAGAAATTTTGTTATCAATGTTGTTATGTAGGACTTGTGACATCATTGTCAAAACCTGGGGAAGTTCTGTAGACCTTATTCACCTTTCACGATATTGAATATATTCAGAACAAGGTTCATTATGCAAACCTTCCCATCTTTACAGCCTGCTTTTCCAGTCTTAGTTACTCAAATCTAATCACATTTTACATCATTAAAGCCGAAATTGATTAAGTTATCAAATGATCACACATTTTTGATCATACATTTATACCCATTATTGGGAAAGGTTGGAATATAAATGGTTTTGTATATGACTGTCTTTTTGTAATTGTATTTGACTCACTTTTTATCCTGTCATTAGAACCAGCTTATATTTTAAACGTTTTATCCGATTTTTATGGGAGCCGCGGTAGTTCAGTGAGTTAGACGCTTGATCGCTAACCTGAAGGTCCAGGGTTCAATCCCGCCATAGGTCAAGATGATACCTTCGGATTTTTCAACCCGGTTTCCCCTTGTCAGTGATGACATGGAAAAAGCGTCTAGTCATTTGAATGGGACAATAAACCGAGGCTCAGTGTGCACGTTAAAGATCCCTCGACAGTTGAAAAAGAGAAGGCTAATGTGGCTGTCATGGCGTTAGCCCACAAGGTGCAGAAAAGGAGGACGTAAAACTCCATTCATTTCATTTCATTTCATTTTCGATTTTGATGAACCTAATGAATGCATTAAGTTTGGATGAGATCTCAGTCAAGGTTAAATAAGCCATTTTCGGTTTTGGTGTGACCCCTTATTTGGTAATTTGATGTATTTGGGACATTGCTTTTGATTTGAAAAATATTGTAAATAAGAGACATTAATTGTATTTTAGTCACTGTTTCTGACAGCTGTCACTGAGCATATGTTACCTTGTCTGGCCAGCCATTTCTATCTTTCCTTTGATGATGTGGAATCATATGCTAGAAGATATTTGTGCAACCAATTGCACAGCATTAATTTAAAAGTACCTGGTCAGCTTAGTCTTATAACTGTTTGTCTTGAAATTTTTGAAATGTTGATTATAATTATTTAAATTGTACTTTTGGCACTCAACTTCCATGATTTGTGAACTGAAAGCCACTACTTTATGGCAGGTGTCCTGCTATGATAGTATAACCTTTTGCTTGACATCAAGCCAAAGTCCAGTCTAATGAGTTATTCTTTTTTTTTCCAGGGGACGTAATCCAGAATGGTATAATAAAACTTATGGATTTATCATTGCAAACTATATTGAACGTATTAGAGACTCATTTCATCAAAATATGGATAACAGTCCAGAAACAAATGTTTAAATTTCCAAGCTTAACCCATATCATTCTTGTTCAGGAAACAAACTTTAAAAATCAAGACCATTGCTTCGTGGGCATGTAGTGAGAAACTTAAGATGTGTTTATTGGCTTGGTATTTCTTTCCAGTGCTAACTTATTTTTAGATTGGAAGAAGAGACAAACTTTCAACTTATTCCTTCAAACTAGTGCTAATATTTATTTGATACATTACTGAACACTTTGCCGTAGATGCTTGCCCATAATCTTGAAGGTCCTGGAATGGATCCTGGCTCACATTAAGTTAAAACATTAGGGTTTGTAGGGGTTCCTATGGTTGTGTGTGCGACAGACTGTGCAGTTGATACCTAACAGATAATTATTTTTAAAAATTATGCTCATATTGCTCTCTTTGCCAAATGTACTCCGCATCCTTCAGCCGCTGCATGATAGTAGGTAATTGATGTGGTAAACTAGTTCATTATGTCAATCATGAGAACAGGATTTGACAGAAACCGGTTAAATGTGTTCAGATGTACCATGCCACCAAGATATTGTTTTTGTGTTAATGTATTCAACATGAATGTAAAATATTGATAAATTTAATAAATGATATTCTCAGAAATATTCTTTGAAAATGAGAAAATATGTACAAATATTTGAAAAATTGAAAAATCCATAACGCAGACGTTAATTTGCGACTTTCTCCTATGGTTTCTTCTGATTATTCTTTTGAGTTTTGATACTGTGTTATTCCTTACAGTGAAGAACGATGTGCACTTCAGGCTTCTTTCTGTCTTCTTCTAAGATTCTTCTAAAGGTGTTGCTTATTCGTGTAAATGATATGTCGAAAATTATATGGTTAAAATGATAATACATAAAACACATTTGTTTTATCTCAATTTACTGAAGCAATATGACAAAGTTGACGGTATCATAAAAAGTATTAAACAATTTAACAGAGCATCTTATTTTGACCCAAAAACCCTCCCATACGGCTCAACCATAGCCACTGCTGCGAGCAAATAAAGGTTTCAGCTAACTCTTTCAAAGCATGACACAGAACTCTTTTCATGACTTTATTTTGCAAGCAAAACAAAGAAAAGATTTGGTTGAGTTTTCAGGCCCAGAGAAACGATCTTAACTTATCCAAGAAGGACATTTTTCATTTAGCAGCAAGTCAGAACTACTAAAGCCTATAGAAGAACTTGCTATCAAAAACACAGATGCACCACTCTTGTCACCTGTGCCATACTTTATTAGTTTAGATGCTGAAGTCAGGTGGCAGCAGAATATTCCTTGAACATGGCATCTCGTTTTGATCTAATGTTGGATGTTACAACAACAGGAAGGAAGGAATCACAGCCCCACCTTTGAAGACATTCCCATCTGGGCTCCATGCAAACAAAAGGAGACCGACATCTGAATGTTGGTACATGCAACAGATGCCATGGTGTGTAGACATACTTATCTGTACAGTGGGCGATGCCATTCTGGTCATTGCACTAGCCCAACTGCATGAGCTCTGGCTTGAGTAATTGCAAGTTGTTGCGCTTGATAACATCACTGGAGTGGCTTTGACCCGTCGATCAAACGCTTCATTGCAAAGAAGTGGAAGTTTTCTTTACCCATTTTGAGGACATTTTTCATGGTCTCGGCTTCTGTTTCATACAATAAGCATGGAACCAGCACGACAAAACTTCACATGGCGCAAAAGAGACTTGAAGGCGTATACTTGGGGCATCACTCTCATGTGTGGCTTTTTTTTTTTTTTTTTTTTTTTTTTTTTTTAAATCATAAATCAAAGATGTAAAAGTTAAAAGTTAATTAGTCGAACTTATTTAATTGAATCAAATCCTCTTAATCCGAAGGACTGTGTAAAAGTGTAGTTGGACTTGTTTTGCTGTCATACGATTTAGTCATTCCTTGATAAACCGAAAGTGTCCAACCATCATTTTATATTTTTGGAAGTGAAATTGCCGGAATGCCAAAAAATCGAAAGTCGAAACGCCCACAAGAGTCTACTGGAAATTCAACATCTAATTCATCCAGTAATACATCCTCTCAGAGTCAGCCTAGCATATCAACGTTTCTTACTCAGAGGTCAAAAGAACCGCCGTGCAACCAACAGCAATCATATGGTAATGGAAATCACGACAACAGTCTCAACATTCAATTACCAGCAACGAGTACGCCATCTGCATCATCCCAGCTAGCCGGAATACAGTCCTTGAGAAACCCATAACACACTCCTAGTCCACAATACCCTAGTCAGCTGAACATGATAAATCACCCCCTTGATTCAGTTATAATTGATATATCAAACCGCCTTAAAAAGCTTGATAACATTGAAACTAAAATTACTAATATTGCAAAAGACATCTCAGAAATAAAAGCTGAAGTGACTATTAACAGTGCCAGGATTAAGGAAATTGAAACCAGGTCCTCACATATTGAAAACACTCTCCAGTTTCAGTCAGACTCGGTCGAAACAATCAAATCTCAAAATGGTACTTTCACAATCAAATTGGCTGAATTAGAAAGAAACAATATGCTATTAAAACAAGAGATGACGGACATGAAATGTGATATGAAAAGTAACCTGCTGTTTTACAATATCAGAGAGTTTCCAGATGAAGATTGTAATGGTTTGATTCAAAACCTCCAGCTTAAACTGAAATTGAATGATGTTGATATTGAATCGGCGCACCGCTTGGGCCGCAGACGGGATCAAGTCGACAAAAATATGACTTTTCCCAAGAGTACCAGCTTAGAGGTCGATAAATCGGCAAGACCTATTGTAGCTAGGTTTGCAAGTCGCAGCGATAGAGAAAAGGTCAAGCGCGAGGGTTCTGGTTTGAGAGAGCATGGTTTGAATCTTAGTGAGCAGTACCCAAGAGAAGTAGTGCAGAAAAGGAAAGAACTAATGCCAATTTTAAAGCGCGAGAAACAGAAAGGTAACCGTGTAAAATTAATCAATGATTGGCTATTTATAAATGACCGACCTTATAAGGAATAGGGCTGCGTTGAGGATCATTTATCTATTCTCACCTGGAATATCAATGGTGGTGTAGCATCTAAGCTCAAAGAGGTATCTTTCTGTGAATATATATCAAAATGGGACTTAATCATTTTAATCCATTCAGGTAAAAATGTAGTGAAGTGTACTTTATCTGGTATACACATCCGTTCGACAACAGTGTCAGAATAGTGGCGGAATAGTGATTTTTGTGCGGATATCTTATAAATCTTGTTTTAGTGTTGTTGAAAGCTCTCATCATGGTCTTATAGTCTGTAGATTTAAATCAGCAAGCCCTGCCCTTTTTTCGGATGTATATCTGTGTACCGCTTATATTCCCCATGAGCGTAGTCCATACTATAGAATTTGCGATGTTGACTTCTTTCAAGAAATCGAAGCTGCACACTCTAAATATTCGTCGAAAGGGTAATTCATTTCGTGTGGGGATCTAAACAGCCGAACTGGGGTTGAACCTGATTTCCTTAATGACCAGTTCCCTCGCCATGATTTTGTTAACAATAACCCCTTAGAGCCTAGAAATAGTGAAGATAGTGTAATTAATGGATTTGGCCGTAAATTATTACAATTATGCAAGAACACTAACACATGCATCCTAAATGGTCGATTTGAACCAGGGGATTATACTTGCTGCACTGCAAACGGCTCAAGCGTCATAGATTATGTGATCTTAGACAGCAATGCTAGACACCTTGTCAGTTCATTTAAAATCGAACCTTTCTTGGAATGTTCTGATCACGCACCAACCAGCTTACAGCTTAAGGGATACATTGGCAGTTTCCATGACCTTAAAGACACTCATAATTCACACGTAATTTCACCGACTAAGAAAATATTAAAATGGACTCTAGCTAGCCAACCCTCTTTACATGAGACATTACTTGAACAAATTGAAAATGTGGTGTCTACATTTGGTCCCATTGATTCTCACCATGATGTCGAGGATCTTAATAACAATTTCTGCGAAACACTTTTCAATGTTTGTTTTCCTGCTATAGGATTAACACAGAAACAATCAAAGTCAAGAAAATGCCGTACCAAACAGAACGAATGGTTCAACTCAAGTTGCTCAATTTCTAAAAACACTTTCATATTTAATAGGAATCTATACAACCGAAATAAAACTGATGTTAATAGACTCCGGTTTGTACATTCGAGGACTAGTTATAATAGAGTACGAAGAGAAGCTAAAGAAAAGTTTAAAACAGATAAAGGAATCGTTTTAAAACGCTTGATTAAGAAAAACCCTAAACAATACTGGAAAACAATAAATGACCTCAGGGATGAGCCCAGTTACCAATCCGGAAATGCTCCTGATCTTGAGACATACTATGATCACTTCAAACTTTTGTTTCAAACTACATGTAGTAGTAATCAGATAGTTCAACTCCCACTATCCAATGATGTTGAGTATTTGGACACACCTTTCTCTGAGAGTGAACTACGCCGAGCAAACCTCAAACTTAAAACAGGCAAAAGTCCTGGGGTCGATGGAATAACCCCTGAGGTCATTAAGTTTAATATTGATATCCTTTGTCCGTCTCTTTGCACTTATTTCAATTCGATATTCAATAGTGGATTTTATCCTAATGGTTGGTCAAAGTGTGTCATAGTACCAGTTCCAAAAAGGGAGACTCTAGGGATGTTAATAATTATAGGGGTATCACATTAATGTGCACCCTTGGAAAATTGTTTTCTATAGTTGTAAATGATAGGTTGTTCTCATGGTTAACTGAAAACAAAGAGTTATCTGTCTTCCAGTTTGTATTTCAGCCTAACAAGAGCACTGTCGGCTGTATTTTCATTTTACAGGCTCTGATCTCAAAATATTTATCAAATGGTGAGAGATTATATGTAGCCTTTATTGATTTTACCAAGGCTTTTGATAAAGTTGACAGAAACTTACTTCTTCTCAAATTACACCAAAGTCAAAAGTCAAAAGTCAAAAGTTAATCATGTGTATCAAGTCTATGTATCACAATGTTCAGTTATGTGTCAAATCAAAAAATGCATACTCAAAATATTGCTCTTCAAATTGTGGAGTAAAACAAGGCGACAACCTCTCACCATTGCTTTTTCTCTTGTATGTAAATGACCTGTGTGATTTCTTAAGTGAACATGTTATTGATCCGTTTACAATAGGACAAATAGTTTTGTCATCCTTTATGTAAGCCGATGACACGGTCTTGTTGTCAAAGTCTGAAAAAGGTTTACAAAACCAACTCTCACGGCTCCAGCAATACTGTGAAACATGGAATCTCTCCGTTAATGTAAGCAAAACGAAGGAATGTCTTGCTCAAAAGGGTAATATAGGCCTTCACCAATTAAACTGTGTTCTTGATAGGGTAAACCTTGATTGTAGACAACAGTGTAAGCTCTTCGATTGCTTCGTAGAATCAATATTATCTTACGCAGCCCCCGTGTGGGGTTTCCTTAAGGCAAATGACATAGAAAACTTACATTTACGTTTCTGCAAACGACTACTGCAGGTTAAAAAATCCACAGTGACAAGTGCAATGTATGAAGAGTTAGGTCGTTTTCCTTTGCGTATCAGCAGATTGCAAAATATTGTGAAGTATTGGATACGCATCTTGTCAGATCAAGGTAGCCTCCTTTATCACGTTTACTTTGATTTATATAGCAGTATCAATCCTCGTGCTAGGTTCCGCAATTGGGCTGCTCAGGTAAAACAACTTCTGGATAACCTAGGATGCTCTGACATCTGGTATGCCCAGTTTTTTTAGATCCCATATCTCGACATATTAAGCCAACGTATCAAAGACCAGTATATACAGTCTTGGAATACATCTCGACTATTTTCATCTAAGTTAGACAAATACAACCTGTTTAAACACTCTTTTTGTTTTGAAGATTACTTACGATATGTCACTATCCCGAAATATCGAGTAGCTCTTACTAAATTAAGATGTTCGTCACACACTCTAGGTGTTGAAACTGGGAGATATAAAAAGTTAATTAGATCCTCAAGAATATGTTCCAACTGTACTGGAAATGAGGTGGATGATGAGTATCATTTCACTCTGATTTGCCCAAAACATGCTTCTTTAAGAGAACTTTATATACCAAGATACTATTATGAATTTCCGACCATTATTAAGTTTGTAACTCTCATGTCAAGTAATTCCACAGATCTGTTATGGAATTTATCCAAATTTGTTTTTCATGCTATGAAATGATCTTCAATTGTTTTTGATGACTGTATTGTATATATGTTGTGGTGTAAAAGTCTTACTGACTTAATACCTATAATAAATTATTATTATTATTATTTTTGGGGCATCACTCTCATGTGTGGCTTTGATGTCAAGACTATGAAAATATTGGGTTAATCACCTATATTTTACAATGCAGCTATCTTGAAATTCAATATGGCGACAGTTATAACCACTCATTAATAGGTCCCTTCATCCAAAATGTACAAGAACTGATTTATAGCTGAAATTCAACATGGCGGCGGTTGAAGCTACATGAAACTTGAAACATTGCACATTGCACATTGACCACCAAAATGTAAAATTAGGAATGGGTTTACAATTAAGAACGGGTTTATAGCCGACATAAGTCCAGAAATATCGATAATTATAGATTTTTGATGGTCGCCATTTTGAAATTCAAACTGAGAACAAGTTTATAACTGACACAGATTAAGAAACAAAATATTTTCGATGTTCGCCATTTTGAATTCAAAGTGGTGTCTTTGTGCAGGGAGTATTTCAAGTAGCTCCATATCCAAAAATGTTCACAACATATGAAAGTAACTTTATGAAAAATTTGGTACTTAAATCACAAAAGGCAGAATATCTTCATATTTGGGGTCTATGCCGCTGGACTATAAAGTATTTCATTCTAGGAGCTGTCATATCCCTATCACCTTTTTGGTTATCAAGAACGATGCTCTATATATTTCTAACTGCATACATGAATATTTGATTTATCAATGTTAATAATAATAATAATAAAGAAAAAGAACCTCAAAAAATCGTAAGTCGTAAGTTTTGAGTTGATCGTAAATGGCGTTTCTCAAAAAAGATCAAAATTATCGTAAGTTTGCGACTAATTCTGGTGTTAACTTGCTAGTGATCTAAGCTGTCGGAACTACCAGGGCCCGGTTGTTCAACTTGTAGTTAAATTTTAACAAATGGTTAAATACATTAACCATTTGTTAAAATTTAAGTAGGCCAAAAATTTGTTTTTCACCTTTCGTTATATTTAACCATTGGTTAAATTGTTGTAACCATTGGTTAAATAGCAGAATATTTAACCAAGCTAAGGGGGCATCGTTAAAGGATTTAACTAATGGTTAAAAGATTCAAGATGGCTGCCAGAATGGTTCTTTTCCATATGCCACAGACAGTCAACAGAAAGCAGAGGGTTTTTAGAGGGTCAAATCTTGTGAATTTGGATAACCGTGAGCTGCAGACCCGATACAGATTTGGCAGAGCAGGCATTGACTTCCTTACCAACCTTTTGAAGGATGACCAAAAAGGAGACAGCTCTGACAGTCGAACATTGCACTTAGATTTTATGCAAGTGGTTCATTTCTGCAGGTGGTGGGGGATACCCTGGGCTTTGATAAAAGTACAATTTCTAGGATAATTAAGGATGTCACCAATGCCCTTGTTTCCAAGAAACATGACTACATCAAGTGGCCGTTAACAAACGAAGAAAAGAATGCTGTGAAAGATGGATTTTATGGGCATGGACACTTTCCAAATGTTATCGGATGCATTGACTGCACACATGTTAGAATTCAGGGACCAAGCGAGGATGAACCATCTTTTGTCAATCGCAAGGGATTTCACAGCATTAATGTGCAAGCTGTATGTGATCATGAGGGTATGTAAAGATGTGTTTCTCATTATGTTCTGCAGTTATTTGTTCTCCCCCCACCCCCGCCCCTAAAAAAAAACCCCTACATTATGTCAGACCCTACACAGTTCAGATATCCCATCCAAATATCACGTTGGAGAAACTGATCAAGGCCGTAATTGTCTTGCTATCCCCTTATATGCTTTGTAATTAAAAATATGTCCCCACTTTATATTGGAGTGGACATAATGATAATTGTGGATCTACGCAACACTGTATGTACTATGTATGCTATAAATTGTAGGAAAATTTACCAACATCAATGCAAACTGGCCTGGATCCGTGCATGACTCGCATATATTCAATACTTCAAATGTGTGTGACCACCTAGAGAACCATCAGAGAGGGCTGTTAGATGGCATCCTGTTGGGAGACAGTGGATATGATTGCCGTCCATTTCTCATGACACCATACCATAATCTTCAAGAGCCAAGCCAAATCAGATATAACAGATCCCATGGATCCACCAGATCGGCTATTGAGAGAAGTTTCGGCATTTTGAAACGGAGATTTCATGTATTACATTCAGAGGTAAACATTATTTTAAAGTATAAATATACTTCCATCCTTGCCAGAAAATATAAAATTCAATTGACCAGTTACTAAGATGCCCACTACTGGTATTTGTATAGCAGTATGCCTGGTCATTTGCGAGCTAAATGTAAATACTTTTTTTTTACTGTTTGTGGTTTTGACAAAAATGATTCAATTTATCCCTCTTTGCTTGACAAATATATTTTTTTACATGTATCAATTGTAAAAAACTCTCTTCCAGATGAGAATGAAACCTGAAAAAGTTTGTCGGGTGATATGTGCCTGTGCTGTGCTGCATAACATTGCCATTATGCTGAGAGAGCCCCTGATTGATGATGACAATGATGAGGATCAGGGTGAACAGAATGCTGTTTAAGTGCCTGTCTTTGATGGTGCCCAAGATGGTAGAGCTACAAGGAGGAACATAACCAGAACGTATTTTGGGTGAAATAAATATATCTAAGTTTGTTTACTTAATTTATATTCAGCTTTTCTGAAGTTACACTGAATCGCCAACATACTTCACAGGATATTTTAACTTTCAAGGATATTTTTGTATCTCAATCAAGATCACTATGTGAGAATTGTATCCTGATGTCTATTGATATATAATTCTATCCTTGAATTAAGCTGGAATGATCTTCATTCTTAAATATTTTTAACAACAATGCGTAGTGTACTTAAAATAAGAGTCATATTTTTCATTTTCAAACACGAATTACTATGGCAACACATGGATTTGGGGGCTAAAATTTCACTTAAAATTTCTGGTTTCTGAAGAAAATGAGATGTGATTGGAGGTAGGGATATTGAAAGTTGGCTAATAGGAACATAAAATATAATATATAAGTGATCTCACAGCATATATCAAACATTTCTTAAAACATGGAGGCAAACAATGAGTTGATAGTTGGTGTGCCTAGTGGATTGTTAGGTTGAGGAACATCTGTCAGTTTTCTTAGTAAACTTATCTGTAGGTCCAATTTAATATTCTCTTTGTCTTGCCTTTCAAGTTCCTTCTCATATATCTTGTATTGAATGTCATGCAAGTCCTCTGAGGTAATTTTTCTTTTAACAGTCTTTTTCTTTGATGTGCTTAAATAAAGAAAAATAACATTCATAATTCTAAAATTTTGATTTTAATTTTCATAATTATTTTTTTATATTTGATGATCTGTGATATATCTCAGAAGTACATTTTTTCATAATACATAACATGCCGGTAAACTTTAGAATGAAATATTCCCAGTCACCGGTTTTGAAACTAGGCAATTCGTTAGTTTCAGACTTTTTACTGACGAATGTTCTGTTCGGTAATAAAATTAAATTAATAGCCTATATATTTCAAAACAAATTTTTGTCAGAAATTCATTCACCAAAATGGGTTCTCAACGATTCAAATCACGACACGATACATTTTAACAGACTTTTTGTTGCTATGCAGCAAAATGTCCATTTAGGCTAGTCTAAAAAAGAACCTTTTAATGGATTTGATGTGCTTGAAATAATTTAACTGATAGGCATAAAATTGTTAAGGGCTAAAAATCGATTCTGCGAGGGGTGGGGACTGATATTATATATAGGCATGATCATATAATTCTTTTGTCAATATATTAAGTAAATGGAATTAGTAGTAGGACTTTACCAAGGCCAAATTATTTTTTTTTTAAATCTGAACATCCCCTCTCCAGAATCAAATCTTCAACTTAATATTTCAAATACCTCTGTCCTTGAGTAAGTCCTTGTAAAGCTGTTTGTCTAGGTGGAGTTTTTGGTTGTAGTCTTGAAGGGCCTGGTTGTGGTGGTGTCTGGAGAATAGATGGACTCAATGGAGAAGCAGGAGGTGTAGGATTTCTTGGAGAATCTAGACTGAATGAAAGATTGGCAGATAAGAAACTATCATCTTCTGTGGCATCTTCCTCAGGTAGGGCTGCTACACTTGATGACTCTGAAAACCAACAAGATAATAAAAAAAGTGGTCGAGTGTATTATAGAAAGTGGTCCGAGTTGGTTTGTGTCCGAGTTTGCCATGAAAAGTCAGTCCGAGTGTGTTATAGAACGTGGTCCGAGTTGGTTTGTGTCCGAGTTTGTCTTGAAAAGTGGCCCGAGTGTGTTACGGTCAACGTTGGTTTGTATCCGAGTTTGTCGTGAAAAAAGATCCGAGTTTGTTATACAAAGTGGTCCGGGTTTGTTTTGATCCGAGTTGTCTTGTATTCTTAACATCCGGTAGATATTTTTACATCTACTTTCGCTTTATAATCATTTCACGATGGCCTTGTTAGATGGTGATAAGAACAAAAGGCACTGGCCTAGGTCACAAAGTTAAGATTTATGATGAAACAAAGTGCAAGTTAAAGGTAAAATAAGTTAATTAATAGTCTTTGAATACATGCTGTAGCATTTTTTGTAAAATCTGTAATTTCGTATTATAAGATCATTCTTTAATTTTACTGTAGCCTGTAAACATTTGGTTTTAGCTTTCTTTACTACGAGCCTTTTTGGCCCGAGCATGAAACTCAATTTTGGTTTGAAAACTTCGTGAATTTTCTGGACACACACACAATTCTGTGCAATTCGAACAAGGATTAAATAAATGGACATTGCACGCTAGTCGATAAGCCTAGTTCATAAAATCGGTGAGCATGAAAGGTTAAAGGTCACGAACGAATGAGAAAATGTAAACAAAGCAGACGACACGAAAATCATTGGTCAAATCTGAGAAAATTGTTCGTTATTTTATTAAGAAAAATATTTCAGATGAAAACTAAAAGGA